GCTGGCGGAACGGCTCCTTCTCAAGGAAAAAGCTTCTCTTAACAATGGTGTACATATATATGTATATACATGCATCTGTAATTGATGTATATGTGTTTGTGTACATTTGTAGGTGTACAAAACAGCCATACACATGTAAGAAACATTAAAATAAAATAATTTTAAAAATACGTCAGAAAATCTCCAAAAAAAATCTCCATGCTACCAGGGCAGGTATTGGTGCTCACACCTTTAATCCCAGCACTCAGAAGGCAGAGGCAGGTGGATCTATTTGAGTTCAAGGCCAGCATGGTCTACAGAGCAAGTGCCAAGATAGGCTCCAAGGCTACACAAAGAAACCCTGTCTCGAAAAACCAAATAAAATAAAAAGTAAAAGCAAGTCCGTTCATCATAAGAAGTCCTCTAATGTAAAGTCCATTCTTTGAAGAAAAGCAGTTTCTAGGCACCTGACAGACTAGGACTTCAATGATGAAGGAATTCTTCAGTTTCAGTCAGATGGGAAACACAATGTTCTTCAGGCCTCTGGGCTCTCTGATCCTTTTGAGACTGAGCCTTCAAATTTCCATGATATTTGGCTATCATGAATAAGTTGCTCTCTATGTTGTAAATGTGGCTGGAAATTAAAGTAAAAACCATCGCACAACAGGTTGCCAGAAGGTACTGTCTAACCATATTTTGGTAATGAAGGATTAAACAGTATGTTTAGACGGAAACCCATAATGCTTAGTCAAATATTGGTTCTAAAGTCAAGCGTTGGGAACAAGAAAAAATACCTTGTCCTAAGTGCTGCCATTTTGACTTCATACTCTATTTTACCTGTAAGATGAAATGAAGTTCAGGTTCCCAAGCCCTAGGGGAACTGGGAACCTTCCAGTAGCTGACCCACCTCCTCCTTAAATCACAGAAATAGTCGTTATGCTTCTTTAGTCCCCCGAAACCTTGTGGCTGTTGCTAACAACAGAGGGAACAAATGAATCTGATTGGTTGGACTAAAAAGCTTACATTCTTTGTCAGTTGAGTGATAGAAGAAATAGGGAAAACCCCCAATCTTTGAATGCTAATTGGTAGTAAAACTGTAACTGTGGCATGGAGAGATGTTTGTGGGGTTTGTGCTTAAATACTTACTGGAACGAATGTTCTGGGTGGACCTGGGACCACCACACCAGGAATGCGCCAAAAAAGATAAGGACACAACAAGAAGTCTAAAGAGGTCTCCTGAAGTTTATTAAAATTAAAGCTAACAGTTGGGATATGATTACCAACGCTTACCAAGCAGCAAGACGGATGTACTATCTGGAGAATTCCTCACAATATCTACTGCAGGTCATGCTCTTAAGTCAAAAACCAGGTCTTCGCAGAGATTTGATACTGTTGCTGTTCAAACCCACTCTTTGCCAGCTGCTGCCTTTTTTTTTTTTTAATCTCTGTCTTTTCTTCCAGAACTGTGCATCTCCTTTGAGGGGCGTCCAGGCGCCCAGCTTGCTGAACACAGAAATCAGGGTGAAACTGACCTACCAGGGTGGGAGTCTCAGTTGTCTCTGGGTCCGGTTGCAGCCAGGAGAGTGTCTGTGCCCCAAGAAGTCCTGAGACAAATGGACCAGGTACCAAGTTGTTGCTGCCTGGATGCTGACCATTTTCTTAGCCGCCCACCCTCCCCAAGGGTGGGTGAAATCTGGAAGTCACCTTCAGCAAGGCTGGAGATCTGAGGATCCAGATCTCCCAGATGGGGGAAGCGCTGCGTTTCTGGTCCAGAAGCAGTCAGAAGCTACCCCAGCAGAACCAGGCCTGCCTGTTTCTCAGTGGAGCGGATTTCTGTCTGCAAAAGTCCACCTGTTGCTCTTGGCTGCTCCTGACAGTTGAGTTTTTTCAGTCTAACCCATGCAATCCCCATTGCTGAAGGCAAAAGCCGCAAGCAGCTCTTGACTTCAGCAAAGAAATCCAGGGCCGGCCAGCGCTAGGCGGGCTCAAGGGTGCACCAGCGGCAGTCCACTAGCGCCCTCCCCTGGTGAGGACATCTGGATCCCATCCGCTCAGCATCGTAGGCCTTAGGTTTGCTTTTTGGCGGACTTGTTCACCCGTTTCGTTTGGTGGCAACGTTTGGTTTCGATTTTTAAGAACGAATCATGTTAATGGATTTCTTCTCGCCTGTATCATCTCCTACCTCTCACGGGCATGACCAGCACCGGAGCACTAAGTGCCAGCAGAGCTGTCTGCGTAGACTTCAAGAAAGAAGATAGAATTCCCTGACTGAGGTGGACTCGTCCTCTTTAAGTAAGCTCAGTCTTACTCAGCTTTGTAAGACTGAAAAAACGGTCACAGAGAACACGTGAGACCGCCTTGTAAAACGCTGTAGCTACACAAGTCCCCCTGCTGTGAGTAGTGTGTGTGTCTTGGAGCCAGATGTCTGGTCCAGGGAGAGAGGCTCTGAATGCCTGGGGAGGAACCCTGCAGGGCGCCAGTCTCTTGGGGTCCTGACTTGGGAGCAGGCGCAGTCTTGGTCAGTGTCTTGCTTCCTGCCCTGGGAGAGTCTTCTTCAAGTGATATCTGCTCCTTGGGTGAGGAAGAGGTTCCCAGGCTGGGTGCGGGGTTGGCGGGCTCTCCAGGCAGCTGGGTTCCTGCCTTCTCTTCTGGAAGACATAAAATGGAGCATTCGTCCTAGGGTAGCACCCCACCAGAGCACCTTGCAGGCTCCTGCTACTGCCGTCCCCGGAAGGAGGCTTCTCTGCCTTCATCCTACTGAAGGACTCACATAACTGACCCAGAGCCTTGACCTGCCTCTCCTCACTGAGGGAGAAGGACCCCCCCACCCACCATTTTTTGTCCTCCTGGAGTGGATTTATACCTCAGTGCCCTCCTGCCAACTTCCTGCTGCCGGCCAGTGTTTGGCACCCGGGAGCCTTCAGAGCAGGTACTTTGGGGCTACTGCTCCATGCAAGCTTGCTTCCTTACCGTATGTCGTTTCTGGTCAATGTTTAGTTTGTTTCATGTTTGAAAATGTTATTTATAGAGCAGAGCTGGGTGTGATAGTACAGTCCTGTGCTCCTTAGCATGCTATCTTAGTAAGGGGGGGGGCTGCAAATTCCGGCCAATCACTTCAAAACAGCCAGGATCAGGCCAGCCACAGCCACCCAGCCATAATCTGGAAATTGTCTTAAACATTCCAGTTCACATGGAGTCACAAAATATCCATGATAGCCAAGCTGTTCTTAAAAGAAACAATGCTGATTTCTGATTTCTGGAAGCCATAACAGTAGAAACAGCACCCAGTTTGCTGACAACTCAGATAGTTGCAAGATGGACCAGACCGGAGGTTCCATAAACAAGCCAGTGTCAGAGCAACAACCGAGTTTTCACCAAGATGCAAACAAAGTTTTGAGAAATGACAATGCCTTCAACAAGTGGTTCTTGCAAATCTGGGTGGCCACAATTGAATTCCTTTTTCTGAGCTGGGTGCGTTGGTGCACACCTTTAGTCCCAGCACTCAGAGACAGAGGCAGGTGGATCTCTAAGTTCCAGGCCAGCCTTGTCTACAAGGTGAGTTCCAGGAGAGCCAGGGCTGTTACTCACGGAACCCCTGTCTTGGAAAACAGCACCCTCTCACCCCTGCAAAAGAAAAGAAAAAACGTTGGAATTCCTGTTTCTGTCATCCTGTAGGGGCACCAGATCACATGAATCTGACCTTCTGTGGTATCTAAAGGTCTAATGCTAGCAAACAAATAAAATAAAGTCAGATCACTTCCGAATACCAAGCACTTGCTGAACAGGACTCTGGTTGCTGAGGAAACAGCGCCACCACCTGGCAATTGTGAAAACCTTAGACCCAGCAAAGGAAATGGCTGCCCGAGGGAGAGACTTTCTGAAGGCCTCTTCTCTGGCTCTAGAGGATTCCTACCTAGAAGACAATAAGAAGCCAGGGCTTTAAAGGAGAAAACAGCAAATCTCCCAACCAACACAAGGCCTGACAAAGTGAAGAGCCCGTTCTCAGAGCCTGAAGTACAAACGCCAGTCTGCATGGGGGAAGTGTTATCCTTAGAAAATGCCTCTCTTCACAGGATGGACACTACATTTAAAGATCCAGCTTTCATGAAAAGAGATGTTTTATCAAAGGGACCATCTATAAGTAAGAGACGGAATTTCCAGGAACAGGATTGTATTTAAAGGATGGACTTATAAGGCAGTGTTGTTTACAATGGACTACGCACTGAATGTAAGAGGACTGCACACTTATTTAAAGAACAGTTTTAGTTAGACCGTGGACTCTGAATTTGCGGTTTTTGACACTGGCGTTCAGACACATCGCCTCCCCTCCCCTCCATCCATCCCCTTCCATGCACCCCTGTGTCTGCGGTCACTTTTCCTTTAGTCGTTACCTGTATATGCTGCTGCTGCAATTGTGTGTGTGCCTATGGGCATCTGTGCTGTGCATGTATTCCTAAATACACAAACATGCCTATTCCTGAATATATAAATAAAACAAGTTGTGTTTGTCTGTCTGCGTATACTTACATATATAAATACAGTCTGTGTAATATGTATCATGTCCCTTAATTGTGCAAGATTTTGAGGCTTAGCTTGGTATTGGATAATCCCCTTAGGAGCTCTTTTCTGAGGAAGACTAGTTCTCTTGCTCTCAGCATCCCTTATTTGCTCAGTTTGGTTTTTTGTTTGTTTGTTTTGTTGGTTTTTTTTTTCCAGACAGGGTTTCTCTGTGGATTTAGAGGTTGTCTAGATCCTGTAGTACAGGCTGGTTTAGAACTCACAGAGATCCGCCTGCCTCTGCCTCCCAAGTGTGCCACCACCACCCGGCATTGCCCAATTTTTTTTTTTTTTTGTCTGTTACTGATTTTTCACTAAAATAATTTTAATAGGAGATTAGGTTGAATTTTTTAATTTATTTTTCAGTTTAAATTTAGATAAGAAACAAGGTTGCTTCACAAGTCAGTTCCAGGTCCCTCTCCTTTTCCCTCCCCTCCTCCCATGACCTCCTCCCAACCCCCCTTTATCCCCTCATTTCCCCAGGGAGGGTGAGGCCCTCCATGGGGGTGTCCATAGTCTGTCATTTGATATAGGGCAGGGCCGCCCAATTTTTTTTTATCTTGTGCTGAGGCCTTCTGAGCTTTCCCTCTTCCAGTGCCAGAGCCGCAAGCCTAGTAATGCTCTTGCTCAGGTCTTTACAGCCTCGTTGATGAGCTGCAGTGGTGAAGCAACAGCTGGGTTTTTAGGGAAAGAATCTACTTCAATGAGGAGGTTGGACTTGTATGTAAATGGCCAACTCTTCATGAGACAGACTGACTCTGCATTAAATAGATTGGCAAGGTACCCAGATGATCAACATGTTTTGTGCAGGCTGGATATTTCTTTAAGGATTGGCATGAAATGATCCACTAGAGGTAGTTTTTGACAACCACACTGATTTAACCAGTTAATAGCTTTATGTCCTTCTTATTGATAGACAGACCAAACACAGTCTTGTGCTTCTGGAAAAAAAAACCTCACATATACAGAGTTTTTAAGGGCAAAAACCACAAAGACCATAAATGACATCAAAGTTAGATGAGGATCAGGCTTGCCTTCACTCCTGACAGACAAAAAGAGTCAACTCTCCATTTCAATCTGTAAACAAGGGAACTTTCATTGTGTTGATTCAAGTTGTTTTCTTTGGATTTTGAGTTTAACTTCACACACCAGCACATTAAAGTCCTAGAAAGGGTCATTTTCTTCAAAGTGCGACTATCTTGAATTTCAGGTCAGCACAGCAGTTCAGGAGACATCATCCGCGGTAAAGGCAAATATCTTGAGGCAAGATCCCGTATCGTGGGGCATCTCTCAGTTCTCATGTGCTTGCTGGGAATTGAACTGAGGTATCCTGGAAGAACAGCAGTGCCTCCATATGTCAGTGTAGGGGACCCACCATTATCCCAGACCCTTCTTTCACATCCAGGACCATCTAACCCTCCAACTCTCCCTCACTTCATGAATCCAAGAGCAACACGTAGATGAAGGTTAATTGAACGTATAAAGAACCATGAATTCTGAGTCCATTAGGCAAAAAAAAGTTATGGCAGGGTGGTGATGGCACATGTCTCAGCGACAGGCAGGTCTCTGTGAGATCTAGGTCAGCCTGGTCTACAGAGCAAGTTTCAGAACAGTCAGGGCAACACAGAGAAACCTGTAAGAAAGAAATAAGAAAATTTTCTGAGTCTCTCTCTCTCTCTCTCTCTCTCTCTCTCTCTCTCTCTCTCTCTCTCTCTCTCTCTCTCTCTGTGTGTGTGTGTTTACTTTCAGAAGTAATTTTTGTTATTGAAAAACCTGTTTCCCTAGCAATAAGTAACCATAGTTCCAAATAAGTCCATCAGGACAGTAGGCGGGTTGTCGCCACTGTCTGTACTAGCTCATTTTTGCCATTATAACAAAATAAGCATGGCTCAGTCATTTAGACTTTTTGTTAGCTTGTTTGATTTTGTCTGTTTAGCTTTTTTGAGATGGGGTTTCTGCACATGCCCTGCCTATACTGAAACTCTGTCTGTAGACCACATTGACTTTGAACTCTGAGAGGTGTCTTTGTCTCTGGATCCAGAGGCATGCTGGGATTAAAGGTGAATGCCAGCATGCCAAGCTATGCTCACTGGTGTTTAAAGAAAATTAATTTACATTTATCATAGTTTTGGAAGTTCAAGGACATGGTACTTAGATAGACAACCTTACTGATACTTCAGTTACTTTAGAATCAATTCTGATTTATCATCCCAGCTTTACTGAATACTACACTTTTATTTTTATTTGCTTGTTTTCTAGAGACAGAGTTTCTTGTGATCCAAACTGCCCTGAATCTATACAGCCAAAGGCTACCTTAAATGTTTACAAATGAGAGCCAACCAGAATTTTCAATCACAGATTGTTTCTCTGTTTGTTTGTCTGTGAGGCCTGCATTACACTTGTTTGGTGTTTCATCTGCCAAAAAAGACAGACCTTAGGGTAGGCTCCATGTCCAATAATAGATGGTCAACAAAAATTAACTCGGTGGTATCTTTGAAGACTTTTGTCTCATAAATGTTTGGGGCATTTCTTTTTACATTACTGGTGTTTTGCTTATATATTATTGTTTTCTGATTTTGTGTTTTTATGAGGTGTGTGTGTTTCTAGTGGTTTTCTATCTTTTTATTTAGTTTGTTTTGTTTTATTCTCATTTGTTTTTTATTTGCTTGTTTGTTTTCTAGAGAGAGAAAGAAGGTATGGAATTGAATGGGTAGGGTGGATCTGAGAGGAGAAGACAGGGAGGAAAATGTGATCAGAATCTAGTGTTAAAAAACATAATTTTCAATTTTAAAAACACACAAACTCTCCAGAGCAGCTCTGGATGGCCCATTGTAGGTTCCCCCTTCTTGTTTCTGTGATTTTCCCCTCAGGAAGAAGTCAGGAGTGTCAGTGGGCTCCAGGGAAATGTAGGCAAAACATATAACGGTTTGTTGTATCCACTAAGAGAGGGACCCCAAGGCTTCAAGGAGCTTAATGACACCTGAATGCAACTACAAGAAGGCTTTTATTTCAAAAGAATACCAGCTAGCTGAGGCTCAACTCTGTCTTGAAGCCTGGAACCACAAATGTAAGGCACGTTTAAAGAGAAAAAGGAGAGGGAAGAGTCCTGAGACTGCAAGTCTCATTTAGCAAGCTTCCCATGGCTACAGAGACTATTTAACATACAAGGTATCCATACAAGGTTATCATGAAATGAAGGGCCTTGGAGAAGGCAGTAACTGTTACCTGGTTAGGTAAAATTAATTGGTACATCTTGTGATCTAAAAGTTTTACAACTGACTGGTAGGGCAAGAGGCTATCTGGTTCCCAGTCTTCTTAAGGCAAGGGGGTAGGGCAAGATGTTAGTGCTGGTGATCATGGGTTCGAGCTTCTGATCAAGGACTCCGTGGTCAGAGGACTCTCTCTCTCTTTGTCATAGCCTAAATGTTTATGTCTTTTAGTTATTAATTTTTCCATCACAGTTTACCCTAGAACACTGCCTTCATAGCAAACTGTCTGTCTGTCTGTCTGTTTGGAGACAGGGTCTCTCCATGGAACCCTTGCTGTACTGGAACTCCTAAGTAGGCCAGGCTGGCCTGAAACTCAGATACCCTGATCCTCTACCTAAAGGCATGGGCCACCACACCTGACTATATTATAAAAACTATTTGGATATATATGCTTAGGGGTGATGTTGTAATTTTTTAAATATTGGATTTTGAAATTTTTATCCCTCACTTTCTCACTTTTTTTTTTTTTTTGGTTTTTCGAGACAGGGTTTCTCTGTGGCTTTGGAGGCTGTCCTGGAACTCGCTTGGCAGTCCAGGCTGGTCTCGAACTTACAGAGATCCGCCTGCCTCTGCCTCCCGAGTGCTGGGATTAAAGGCGTGCGCCACCAACGCCCGGCTTATCCCTCACTTTTATTTAAGTGTTTCTGTGTAGTCCTATCTGTCCTGGAACTCACTCTGTAGACCAGGTGGGCCTGAAACTCAGAAATCTGCCTGCCTCTGCCTCTTGAGTGGTTGGATTTAAGGTGTGTATCACCACCACACAGCATTTTTTAAGGAAATTTTTAGAAAATTTTTGTGGTTTTATTGTATCATGAGGCGTTGAAACATCTGAACAAATCAACATCTGGGCGAGGCAGCAGCTGCTTTCTCCTTCACTTCTTTGGATTACTACAGCAACTTGTCAGTAGATTAAAAAATAAAAGGAAACAAAAACAAAAAGCAACCATCGTTTGCATTAACTCTTTCCAAGGCAGGTGCTGGTACAACACAAACTTCTCCTGTCAGGTGCAGTTAGTCCAGCATCCAAACATCATGCACAACACCCTGGTGAGAGAGGCTGTCTACACCCACGCCCACTCCGGCCCTGCTCGTTTGGTGTATAAAATGTGGAGCATCTGGAGGAGAGAGATAATACTGGGAAAGACGATGGAGGAGGAACGAGATAGTATTGGGAAGAGGATGGAGGAGGAACGAGATAGTATTGGGAAGAGGATGGAGGAGGAACGAGATAGTATTGGGAAGAGGATGGAGGAGGAACGAGATAGTATTGGGAAGAGGAGGAAGAGGCTAGCGTGTCTGGCCAGGTGAAGCTGAGCTGAAGCTGTGCAGGATGAGCCTGAACACAGCGTTGGTGCATACACAAGCATCTTTGATGTGCTTTAATAGAAACATCTGGTGGAAACTCATGATGGGATCTTCATCCGCCTTAAGCTAGCCTACAACCATGCTGATGATACAACTATCTGGCGTAGGCTGATGGCCCTGGGCCACGACACTATGCTGGATGTTCTGGAAGGGAAGACTGGACAACTTCTCCACAAAGGCAGCTTTCCCCTGGAACTGATGTCCTTCCCGTGTATGGCATGCTGCGTCAATGTAAAAAGCACCTAGTTGGGTCCTGTCGTGATCAAAAAACTGGTAGTAAGGCTGAATAAAGCTGGATCCAATCTGCTCCCAAATTAGCTTGTCTCGCAAGCATCCAGGAGAGTCACTCACTTCACCAAGACCCATGGCGCTGGCAATATGGCGGCTGCGGCGGCAGCAAACCAGCGCGGTCTCCTTTTTATTTCTTATCGGTGTGTGTTACTCATGGTGTATCTGTGTGTGAGTGCAGCCATGCTAGAGCCACAGCTCGCTGTGGAGGTCGGGGACAGCCTTCAGGTGAGTATGCATTCCACCATGGGGGTCAGAGGACCAAATCCAGGTCTTAAGGAGTCATTTCAACCTTGCATTTTTAAATGTTTGTTTGTTTGTTTGTTTGTCCATCCACACGTACGTAATCTGCCCATCCATTTATTGCCCACTGTGGATTTTCTTGAGAATCTCCACTGAGCTCCTTAGTCCTAAGACTTCTTAATGGGGCAGAGGCCAACAAAAAAAGCTAGTGCACCCTCCCAGGGAGACCGAACCCGCAGCAATAAAGAGGTCTGTCCACTAGGTGGCAGCCGAGGTACGGGCTGGAGCCCTCAGGCTCCAAACTTGTGCCTTTCTCCTGGGAAGTCTAACCTAACACATTTTTGTCCCTCTAAACACAAACACAAAATACACAGAACGTTTTATTATTTGCAGAAAGAAAGACGAGAATCCCAAGCAGGTTATTTTTCCACGGACACCTATCTGTGTCCAATTCCTCTCAAGATGTGTTTGATGCTCAACTAGGGGGTCAAGGTGAAGGCGGGATGCCAGCTCTTACCCCCTTGGGACCGTCTGTTTGTCCTCACAGTCCTTCTAGAATCTCACAAGGACAAGGGGGCAGGTCCAGACTTACCATAACCATGGTTCCGTGACCAGGTTGGAAGAGTACAGATAGTAACTGCCTTGAATCCATTCGATCTGTCCTGGTCAGTAGGGTGGCTGTCCCTCTGACCTGCAGGTATTCAAGGAATATCTAAGTCAAACACCTTCTTCAACCCCAATGCTAACACAACATTCACACAGCTCAGAGATCCACAGTGACAAAGCAACGAAAACTAAACTGGATGTGTTTATTACCATTCCAGCTCCATGGATTCAAACTGCAAAGCGTCCATATGTTCAAATTTCTACTGAATGAAATATTGCAATGTATGAAAACCAATCAAGGCTGCTATGGAGAGTGCTGAACTGTGATTTTCAAAATAATTCCCATTAGATTTGGCTACCAAATTACTACTTTTATCATCTTTGTACTAGAAACAGAAGCGCTGCAGGGCTGTTTTGTATTTCTGTTGTTGAAGAATTACACTCTCAGGTTGGTTCTTTAAAAAAGAAATGGAAGGATGCCAGTGCTGTGATTTTAAAAAAAGGTGGTAATAGAGAGAAAAATGCCACAAGACAGAGTTCAATCACAGGGTTTTTTATTAGAAGAAAAGAATCATAAATATCAGAAAGGGGAGGGCAGAGACTGGCCTCCGGTGACAGGAGCAGAGGGAGAGAGGAGAGAGGCAGAGAGAGAGAGACACAGGGAGAGATATGAGAGAGAGAGAGAGAGAGAGAGAGAGAGAGAGAGAGAGAGAGAGAGAGAGAGAGAGAGAGAAACAGAAAGGAGGATGGGAGGTGGGCAGGGCCCTTTTAAAAGGGAACAGAGTGAGTGTGCACAGGTGGTGCTCTTAGTGGCTGCAGCTGAAGGCATATCCTGTCAGAACCCCAAGGACAGGCCAGGACAGATGCCTAAATACTAGTAGCCAGTTTCTCAGTGGATCCAAGATATATTATCTGAGTCTTCACACCTCTGTTGAAAGGTCCAGGTGATGTAAATTTTTTAAAGATTTATTTATTTATTACATATATAGTGTTCTGCATACATGCCAGAAGAGGGCACCAGACTGAATTATTGATGGGTGTGAGCCACCATATGGTTGCTGGAATTTGAACTCAGGACCTCTGGAAGAGCAGTCAGTGCTCTTAACCTCTGAGCCATCTCTCCAGGCCCCAGGTGATGTAAATTAAAATGTTGAAAATAAAAAATTTTTTAAAGATGTTGGATGGTATTGCATTACAGTGCTTATTTTATTTCCTACAAAGACTTCCTCAAAAATGAAGCTCAAAGAGCAAACTTGAAGACTAAGCTGTGATATTTCAATATCCTCTTCACACCCACATTTATGTGACACTCTCTCTAGCCTGCTACAAGGCATATTCCATAGGTTAGGGGTTGCTGGAAAAAATCACTTAAAATTTCTGGAAATACTGGAAAAGCAAAAATGTCATCCATAGTCCAACAAAGTCTGAAAACATCGTAGACCCACAATAGATGTTGCTCATCCACTTCCACGGCATGGTGTAGAGTACAAGTTGGTACTAGAGGAAGTGGCCAGCTCAGAGTGAGAGCTGCTAACTTCCCAGGGATTTCGTGCACGGGTGACATCCAGGAGAAATAGCCTAAATGACCCTCCCAGGTTCTGAGCACTGTTTTACATAACATTTATTCTTCACAAATGCAGTGTGGCCTTTCCTTCTTTCCTTCTTTCCTTCCTTCCTTCCTCCCTCCCTCCCTCCATCTCACTACATTGCCCTCTGTGACCTAGAACTCACTGTGTAAATCAGGGTGGCCTGGAACTCACAGGGATCCACCTGTTGGATTTAAAGGCCTTGTGTGACCATGGCTAGCATAGATTCATTTACTACCGAGGAGTTAGACTTCCTGGAAGACCAACAGCTGAAGTAATGATCATAAAATGTCAACTTCTTCCACAAAGGCCTACCCTCATAAGGCTGGGCGGTTGTGTTCTCTGGGTCTGGGCCAGCTCTGCCATGACCTGACACCTGAAGCCAGTCCTGCCTCTGCAAATGAGTTCAGTTCTGCTGCAGAAATTTGGGGTCTGGAAATTGCTAAATAGAATGACTGTGCTGGTCAGGAGTGGTGACACACGCCTCTAATCCCCACACTAGGGAGGCAAGGCCAGGCAAACCTGAATCCAGCACCAACCTAGTCTATATAGACTCCAGAACAGCCAAGAGACACAGAACTTTGGTCTCAAAGTAAAACAAACAAGGCATCCCTGGGCTAGTGTGCACCTGCAGGAGGCAGAAGACAGCAGTCCTCCTGGGACAAAGGCTGTGGGTGTGGCATCAGGGATCTTGCCTGCAGGAACATGGTTCTACCTGGAGAGTCTTCACAGTATCATTTGGGTAGGGAATCCAGGCTGGAGGAGGAAGACAAGGTGGAAGTTGCAGGTGGCCCCCAGATTAATTTGCAGGGAACAAGGTTTGGGGTGGCCTTGCTTCCAGCACAAAGGGTCCCAAAGTTCTCAAGGATACTTCCTGTTATCTTATGCCCCAGCAGGTGTGAGTACCAAGATGCCTTCCAGGGCCCAGGGAGGACTTCCTTTAAAAAGAACCAGTTGGGTGGTGGTGGCGCACGCTTTTAATCCCATCACTCAGGAGGCAGAGGCAGGCTGATCTACATGGTCTACAAAGTAAGTTCCATGACAGGTTCCAAAGCTACAGAGAAACCCTGCTTGAAACAAACAAACAAACAAAAAAAGATCCAAGCTGGGCAGCAGTGGCACATGCCTTTAATGCCTTTAATGGAAGCACTTGGGAGTCAGAAGCAGGCAGACCTTTTCCAGTTCAAGGCCACCTGATCTACAGAGTTAGTTCCAGGACAAACAAAAATCCCTAGGGCCATCCCAAGAACAACACAAATTTCCAGGTGTTTAATACTTTATTAAGAGAACTGGAAAAAATTTAAATACAAATGTCTGAAAGACAGAACTGCCTTTGTGAGCAGAGGCAGGGCTGTTGCTGTAACAGATGGAGCTCACAGAGGATCACCTAGTTCCAAGTCAGCAGGCATCAGGTCTCCTGAGATTCAGGCAGTTCGCCCAAAAGCCCTTTGAAGCCATGACCCGCAGTTTAGGCACCCGGGCCCATCAGAAGCGGGATCGCGCTCAGCGCAGTCTCCACCATCACAGGTCTCAGGTTCCAGACCTTTCTCCGAGCCTCTGAGCAAACCCCGCGAGGGTTCATCTCTCTCCTCCACGTTGCTGTCTTTGTCCTTGTCCACCTCTCCCGGGGGCGTTTGGTGCTCCTGTCTCTCACCCTGGACGGCCTCTGCACTCCACTTCACAGCATAATTCGGTCTGGGGTGATATTTTAGGCAATCCCAGCTACAAAGTTCACTGGGAGGGGGAAACAGTTCCCAATCAACAGACCAGCCCTTCTCAAAGCAGTAGCTGGACTCTGGGCAGAAACACGGTGGCCAGGACTGGGAATACCGTGGACTCTGGGCTGGCCAGACTTGCGGACTTCGTGGTGTGTGCTGTGAAGAATCTGACATGTCTTCCACAAAACAGGGCCTGCTCTGTCGTCTTGGCTTCACCTATGTAACACTGACAGCAACTCCTGGAACCTCTGATTGAGAAGTCAGTCAGGTACCTTTTTATCCTCCAACTTCTAGGCCCCTCCCAACTGTTACACTACAGGATGCTAGAGTATAACTTCATAACCCCATCAGTTATTTGCGTTAAATAGGGAGTGAACTCTGAAGATCCTGGTGTTGTCTGTCTTTAATCCCACTGGGAATCAGCCAGGGGGCAGTTGGATCCCTAAGTTCAAGACCAGCCTGATCTACAGCGCTAGTTCCATGACAGCAGGGGCTACACAGGGAAACTCATTCTTGGAAAACAAATAATCCAGATGGCATCATCAGCTGCCATTCTGGTCCTGTGCCTCCATTCTCCAGTAGAGAGATGAGTCCCAGGAGCTCCTCTAGCCTACCTTTCCCTCTTCAAGTTCCCTGACCTGCGGCCACCAGACCCTTCCTGCCATCGAATCCCCAGAAGGACCTGGAGGGGGCATAGAGCAGCCAGCATCACTGGCTGTCATTCAGGTTTGCTGCCCCCACCCTGGCAGGGAGGAGAGGATAGAGCCCTGAACCCATATCTACCAGGAGAAGTAGAGACCCCACCTATAAGCATTGGAAGAGGAGATGGGAAGAGACAGTATAAGAACACATCCAATAATAGAAAGCTTAGATGATACCACCAGAGTCTAGGGATTCTACACCAGTAAGACCAGAACATCCCAACACAGATGAAACAGAAGAGAATGACCTTAAAAACAACTTAATGAAAATGATAGAGGACCTCAAAGAGGATATGAGAAAACCCCTTAAAGAAATAGAAAGAAAATGCAAGAAATCACCAAATCTCTTAAAGCAAGGAAAGCCAAGAAAAAAACAATCAAACAGATGAGGGAAACAATTCAAACAGTTCAAGACCTGAAAACTGAAATAGAGACAGTAAAGAAAACACAAACTGAGGGAATGCTGGAAATACAAAAGCTTGGTAAATGATCAGGAACTACAGATGCAAACATAACCAACAGAATATAACAGATGGAAGAGAGAATCTTGGGTACTGGAGATAAACTGGATGAAATAGATTCATTGACCAAAGAAAATCTTAAATCTAACAAATCCTTAACACAAAATATCCAGGAAATATGGGACACGTGAAAGGAGCAAACCTAAGAATAATAGGTATAGAAGAAGGAGTTCAACAAAATTATAGAAGAAAACTTTCCCAACCTGAAGAAGGACATGCCTATGAAAGTACAAGAGGCTTACTAAACAACAAATAGACTGGACCGAAAAAAGAAGCCCCTCACTACATAATAATGAAAACACCAAACATACAGAATAAAGGAAAAATATTAAAAGCAGCAAAGGAAAAGGCCAAGTAACATATAAAGGCAGGCTTATCAGAATTACAGCTGACTTCTCCATGGAAACTCTGAAAGCCAGAAGGTCCTGGATAGATGTTGTACAAACACTAGGAGACTACTATACCCAGCAAAACTCTCAATCACTATAGATGGAGAAAACAAGATATTCAGCCCTACAGAAAGTTCTGGAAGGAAAACTCAAACCCAAGGAAATTAACT